ATGTGTCTTTACTTTTGACAGTTGAAATAGAACCTCTTCCTCTGTAAACTCACATGTAACAAATTACTCATTTATCCTTTTTCTTAACTGAGGCCCCATTCCTTCATTTTCATCTGTAAACACTTAACAAAAATATTAATTGAGGCAGTCAGCTAGACCTTTATCCTCTTCTACATACCTTCCTTCTTTTGTTTTTAATCTAACTAATCCTGGTTTTACTTTCCTTTTCTCATTTATGCATCTAAAAAATGTTTTGTCCCCTTTCTTTACTAACGGCTATTTTCTTTTCTGCGTGTGATTTGGAAGCTCTTATAACTTGCTTAGCCTCTCTTTGTCTAATCTTATAGATCTGTCTATCTTCCTCACTCTGTTTTTTTTTTTATAATTACTAAATGTTAACTTTTAGTTTTTTTACTATTTTGGCCACATCCACCCAGTACCACAGTGGTTTCTTAAATTTTTTCCTTTACTGACAAGCCTAATGCAATTTTCTGTTGCCTTCTATTTGACTTGCACTTTGGCACTTGCACTTTATCATACAATCCAGTACCATGTTGAGTTAAGCTGCTGTACCTAAGGGTCCCTGGCCCATTGTGGCATTTTTATACTTATATATTTTTTATATTCTTGAAGTAGTGCACATTTATTGTGCTGTGAGTGTGTATACTTTGTTATTAATAAACTCTTGCTGTTTTTTACCTCATCATCTATACTCCTTTTTCTAACCCCTATTTAATATTGCCGATATAGTTATTGTGGCGCCCTGTGCTTTCTAGTTTTTGGTATTTACATTTGTGGTTGGAGTGACCTCTACACAGAGGCTTGCCTGCACTCGGTTCTCACTGCTCTTCACACACCTTCACTTTATTCAATGGGTGACATGTCCAGTGAGTTTGCTGGCCATGCGGTTTTCAGCTTCCAGGAATTGTGTAGCGATCCTTGTAACATGGGGCCATACAATATCATGCTGCAACATGAGGTGATGGTCGTGGATGAATGGCACAACAATGGGCCTCAGGATCTCATTACGGTATCTCTGTGCATTCAAAATGCCATCAATAAAAAGCACCTGTGTTCGTTGTCCATAACATACGACTGTCTATACCATAACCCCACTGCCACCATGGGCCACTCGATCCACAATGTTGACATCAGCAAACCACTCACCCACAGGACGCCATACACGTTTGCCATCTGCCCTGTACAGTGAAAACCGTGATTCATCTGTGAAGAGAACACCTCTCCGAAGTGCCAGACTCCATCAAATGTGAGCATTTGTCCATTCAATTCAGTTACGATGACAAACTGCAGTCAGGTCGAGACCCCGATGAGGAGGATGAGCTGCAGATGAGCTTCCCTAAGACAGTTTCTGGCAGTTTGTGTAGAAATCCTTTGGTTATGCAAACCAATTGTTACAGTAGCTGTCCGGGTGGCTGGTCTCAGACGATCTTGGAGGTAAAGATGCTGGATGTGGAGGTCCCGGGCTAATGTGGTTACACGTGGTCTGTGGTTGTGAGGCCGGTTGCATGTACTGCCAAATTCTCTGAAACGCCTTTAGAGACGACTTATGGTAGAGAAATGAACATTCAATTCACGTGCAACAGCTCTGGTGGACATTCCTGCAGCCAGCATGCCAATTGCACACTTCCTCAAAACTTGCGACACCTTTGGCATTGTGCTGTGTGATAAAACTGCACATTTTAGAGTGTCCTTTTCTTGTGGCCAGCCTTAGGCACGCCTGTGTAATAATCATGCTGTCTAATCAGCATCTAGATATGCCACACCTGTGAGGTGGATGGATTATCTCAGCAAAGGAGAAGTGCTCATTAACACAGATTTAGACAGATTTGTGAACAATATTTGAGAGAATAGGTCTCTTGTGTACATAAAAAAATCTTAGATCTTTGAGTTCAGCTCCTGAAAAATGGGGGCAAAAACAAATGTGTTGCATTTATAATTTTGTTCAGTGTATATAGTTACTACAATGTTAAACAAAAATCTGCACACCAGTCAAGCCATATGACTTGCTTTTCCCACAGAAATCAGAAATTTGCAGTGTTGTTACTATCGCAAAGGATTCTAGGTGGGCATATGCAAATTAGTTTAACAAAGAATCAAATTTTTGCTTCATTCCATTTTAAACATGGATTCCTTTGAGTCTGTGTTTGCTGTATAGAACAGCTTTGAAACACAACTTAGGAAAAGATGCAAAGCCAGTAAACCACTCATGGACAGCTGTTTCATTGTTAATGCAAACCATCAGCATGGGGTTGGTTACTGGTTGACTATTGAGGCTTGGTAGTGCTTGGGAAGCAAAAACCAAAAAGGGTATGGTGGGGAATAATCGTGATTGAAAGTCCTACACTAACAATCCACTCTGATTCTTTCAGCTTCAGGTTAAACATCTCTAATACAGATCTCCCCTTATTACTGTGCTGATGACAGACATATTTTATGCACAGAATTCACATTATGCCGCCCGCAACAGAGTTCTGGGCTGCCTAAGTCACATGTGTTGTGGTGTAACAAGCCCCGGCACAAAAGTGCAAATATCTTTGTATGTGCAGTGTTTCAAGCAGAAATGCTGCACACACAACTTCCAACCACCATGACCATTTCTAAAAGCAGAAGTGGTCATGGTGGTTTGAGTAACCCTTTAACTATATTTAGATACTACTTGTATAATTTATTTAGCATTCTTATGTTTGTTTGTTTTTTAAATCTAGACCTACCAAGAGTTTAGTTTCCAAACTTATTTTAAAACATGTGCCTATGGTATCTACATGTGAACAGCATCATTACAACTTCTATGTAAGAATTTTAATATTTTTTATGAATAAATGTGTATACTTGTTTTTGTAATTGGTGTACCTGTTCTGCATTATTCATTTTGAGGAACAAGCTTCACACAGAAGAATACCCTTGGATTTTTTCTTCTCTAAACACCATTACCCGAAAAAAAGACTGACAGAGGAGAAAGGTTATATTGAATCCTCCAGTACTTTTTGATCTTCAGTTAAGATCTGATTTTGTTTATATATTGGGGTATTTGTGTATCTTTCATTGGGTATATATACCTTCACAGTGCATGTATTACACTTTACTCTGTGGTATCACTTTGTTTTGCGCTGCACACTATTTTTGTTGTTTGCATTCACTTTCCTGTGGGATTTTTGTGATTATTCCCACTTAGTGTGTTCCAGCTGCTGTGTCTAGCGCCACGGTTTATACTGTTTGTCTTTTTTCTTTATTTTAAAATTTCACCAACTCTAATTTCAATTTTTTCAAGCTTTTGAAAGCTGAAGATCCCATGTTGTTCTACAATTGAGTCCAGACTGTAAAGTATCCAATGTTCTTATTACCGTATTAATTCTTGCCCAAACCATGACAAGGGTCTTGAGTTAATGAGGTAAAGCATTTTGCCATATGTTTACACTTTACTTCCATGTTATCTTCAGATGGGCTAATATTTTTAAGCAAACATACTAATTTAGACGTTGCTGCCACATTTAGTCAATGTTACCAAAAAATCAAATAGTAGTTGCACTCAATCACACCTTAGGTGCAGGTATCAGGGTCACCTCTAAAGACCCACAATGAAATAATAGAAAATACCAAAATCATACCGCACTCAATTTTATAGCAAAATAGAAAAATATTTGTTTATTGACACACCATAGTAGTATGGGAAAGAGTGCTAATCTATACTATGTAAAGATAAATATAATTCCCAGTTTAATTAGCTAGACCACCATATTTAAAGTGCAGAACATAACTAAAAGTGCTTAGTGCCAAATCACCATAAATATTATAACATAGAAACATAGAATGTGATGGCAGATAAGAACCATTCAGCCCATATATTCTGCCCAATTTTCTAAATATTGTCATTAGTCCCTGGCCTTATCTTATAGCTAGGATATCCTTATGCCTATCCCATGCATGCAATATAACTCTATACAGGATGATTATCCTGAGTGGAAAGACCTTGAAGATGTTCAAAGACTCCTTATGCAAAAAGAATCAAAATGGATTAGTATTCTAGAGAAGCTACATCCTATGGGTCTCAATGAAGACTATGATTTAAAACATTTTTATAAGCTTTACCAGCTGTGGGTTCTTCTGTATAGGGTGACAGAGTATCCATTTTATATACTCTTCATTTTATATACTCTGGTTATTAATTTATTATTTTCTCACTACTCACTACTAATAATTCCTTCAGCAGTGCATTACCCAATGACCAACCATGGTCCGATACACTTGTTTAGTTCTTTGGCGTGCAACAGAAATGACCAACCACTGGTCCGCTACTTGAACATATTCAAGGTCTTCCCACTCAGGATCATCATGAACACGTATATAAAAAGTATTATGTGGGTAAGCATGAAAAATACCCTATTGGTCATAAGAATTATAATAATCTGGCTACCTGTAAATAGATTTTTCTTTACAAATTAGGGATAATCCTATTAATATATGATAGGTATAATATGGGTCATAAGTAGAGTTGAGCGAACACCTGGATGTTAGGGTCTGGCAGGTTCGGCAGAACTTTGAAAAAAAGTCTGGGTTCGGGCTCGAACTTGACCCCGAACCCCATTGAAGTCAATGGGGACCCTAACTTTTGGCCACAAAAATGCCTCTAAAAAACTCCTGGAAAGGGCTAGAGAGCTGCAAAAGGAAGTAAAATTGGGGTAAGAGTAGGACAAGTGCCCTGCAAACAAATGTGGATAGGGAAATCACTTAAAATAACATAAAAATTAAAAATACAGCTGAGCCATAAAATAGCACTAGATGGAATTTCTAATTTGGAATGCAGGGTATTCTCTTTCATTGTTCAAACTGAGCGCAACTCCTGATACATGGAGAAAAGGCCTTCACAAGCCTCTGCTAATGTGTACCTAGTTTATACTGCGTGACCCATAGGTTGAGGAGGCGGTGACCGTGGCGGTGGAGGAGAAGATGAGGTAGCCAACACTGTATATATAATTTTAATTGGGTTAGCCCAAAAAATATTGGGACATATAAAAAAAGACAGCTCTGTTCCGCAGAGTAGCTGTTGACATTATAGTTGCGCAGGAACTTTGTTGACTCTAGAGAACCTCGGGCAAATCACACATCCCGCGGCGGCAACTTTGCATGCGGATGTCATCCATATCAACTTTTGATGCCAGTTTCTGCGCCTATCATGGTGACCACGGGTAACAGAGAATCAGGTTTCCATTCCATAAAGGGACCCTGAGAAACGGCTACCACATGCAAGGAAGGAAGCAGGCTCGCAAATGACCCACTCCTGACGCGGGAAGGTAGTGACGACAAATAACCATACAGGACTCTTTAGAAGCCCTGTAATTGTAATGAGTCCACTTGAAATCCTTTAACTCTGATCAATTGGAGGGAAATCTGGTGCAGAGCCACTGTCCCGTGCGTGCTGCAGCTGAAACTCCACTATCTCCTGCTGCTGCTCGCAAAGTCTCATGAGGCGGTGAGCGGGAAGGCCGAAGTTACGCTGCAGCGCAGACAGGTGAGCAGCAGCAGGGTGACAACGCCAAAAGCGCACAGCTGCTACTTTGAATGTCACATTCTGACAGTGTCTGGGTCCTGGTCACCGGACTGCCCACCTCACTGTGAAACTACGAATGGATTGTTAAATCTGGTACAAACCCAAACTTTGCAGTTCGAGTTCGCTCAAGTCTATTAGGGATCCTTTGATCGCTACATGCATTACTTGGATAACTGGTAATTCTCAAGCTAATACATGCCGATGAGCGCTAGGAGACGGCCGCTCTGCTTTTGCACCCTGCTTGCTCTTATGCTGTGCTGGTGCCTCTGTGCCACAGCGCCTCTTCCTCCAAATTGCACACGTCACTTGCATGACCTTGATTCCATGTGGGGTCTAGGACCTCATCATCCTCCACATCATCTTCCACCCACTTCTCAACCCTG